GGTTCCATAGCAATACCTAGGAAATCCTGAAACCTTTCTTCACTTACTTCCATTCAATAACTGGTTTTAATAACTACAGACCAGAAATTTTGTTTTAAGGTAGAATGATAAAATATGATTCCTAGGTTGTTACTGATGTATGAAATCCTACAATTTCTTCCCAATTTGAGACCAAGTATTTATGTCAGCCATTGACAACAACAGTAGATACATGAAATTATCTTCCATGGAGCAAAACAATCATCAACATGACTTTGATCGGAGGTAACAATGGCAGTCCATGTTGCTTTATAAATGTAATCATTCTGTGAGAGTATGTATGGCAACTCAACTGAGATATGTTACACTTCTAAGGAACTCAACTCCTAAGGAAGAGGTTGCCAACACTTGCAGAAGAGAAGTCTCATTCAAAGAAGTCTTTTTTCCAAAAATTACTCATCCACCTACATTGAAGACGCAGCACAAAACCCGGATCTTAGAGAATATTTCTCAGCAGAGACTTTCCACTTTGACAGAATTAAGAACATTAATCCTACATATTAATCATATAAAGAGAGATTTTCATGGTCTTATTAACATATTAGTTCTTCCAATTTCACGGTGGATAAAATCTTAGGAACTTGTCAAAATCAAATAATGAAATTCATGATGAAATGTTTCCATGTGCAGATGCAGCAATTCAGGTAATCCAATAAACACTAATATAAACTCTAGCTACTAGCAGATATTACAAAAAAAGAAAGAACCCATGAAGATGAATCAGTTTTTCCAGTTTGTTCCTTAAAAGAACCAAACAAAAACCTCTCCATAGGAAGCACACTTAAACTCCTACCAAAATTTCCACATGTTTGAGGTGAAGACCCAGAATCATGGCTCCAATGCCGGTTAACCTGAGCAAGAATTTCAGCAGTAGAGGGACATGAATCCATCAGCAATATGCCAAATTCCTGAAACACCATTTTTTTAAACCCGAACTCATCTTCTGGGATAAATAAACTGTCCAAGAGCCTTCTATGGACTGAACAACTAAAGCTCTTTGACATTAGATATTTATCCTCTTTTACTTCAGTATCATCTTTGTAAAAACTAACCTGCAAATTTCAACCTCTCAGACAGTTTAGGAGAAAGAGGAGATCAAGATAAAGGAGGCAAGGCAGCCTCGCCGAAAGCTACAGCCATAGCCCCATTCTTGAACTCACCTTGATTGTCTTCTAATAGTTAGATAAAGTGAGACCCTTAGTTTCAAGGAAAGGACTAACAATGAACAAGTGAGGGTCTAGTTGTATTGCTATCGTATATGTGGCTCCATTGGTGATCTCTCTTATTGTTCATCATATTGGGGTATCAGGATAGTTTACCCCATCACTATGATTGGAGTCCTTATAATCAAATCATGCTCTGGTGAAATTCCTATCTGGCATTTTTAGGGTTTCCCCTCCAATGGTGGTGCCTAACTCATCACCCTCAGAAGTATCTGGACTAACATCGCACTAAGTGGGGACAAAATTCGTTTCTGACTTGTGAACAAATCAAACTGGCCAAATTATCCAAATGACCAAAAAGTAATCTGATACATTGAGAAACCTCATTCTGATACTATTGTCAAAACCCGGGACACTTGAAGTAGGCAATTGAATACTTTGCCTCTCTTTAAATCCTACTTTCTTCGCAACCATGTGTGGAACCTCAAGACCAAAGTTCTTGAGTATATTAAACCTTCTGTACCTTTTAGTAATTCTACAGTGGATTTTCGAAGAAGAGCAGGAAACCCTTGACTTTGTACAGATAACCCTGCCATCCTATCACCCATATCTATTGGTTCAATCCATCCAAATGATAGATACTTATACCACCATATTGTAATGGTATCAAAACAAAATTATAAGCTTCATACCAAATTCAAAACATTCCAAAAAGAAAATGATCATTTATCGTTTTCCCAATTTACTTCATAGAGGCCAAATAAAATGAAAGAAAAAGAATGGCAATTAGAAATTGCCACTAATCAAAAGCAAAAAAACAAAGCAAAGTTTTGAATTCCAATTTTTATTTTTTTGACTCAAAAATGAGGACTCTCCTTCCTGCAAGTTGTATACAAAACAAAACAAAAAAAAAGTACAAATAAAATGAAATAAAAAATCATAAATAAATAGAGAGAACTCATTATAAGACAATAGTTGCAATTTTAATGATTGTTGAGAAATACTCTAGAAATAGACAGACGAAGACATTGCAGTAGAGAGAGAGAGAGGGGGGACGAAAATATAATACTCTTAGTATCAAAAAATTTTAAGAGAGAGAAAATGGACACCTTCTGAGAGATAGAGATACGGTCCAAACTCCAAACCGTAACTAGTTACAAGAATTTGCTAAACCTTCACAAATGCAACTACAATATTTTTCAATATTCTAGACACGGTTTTAAGAAGGAAAACGAACCTTATACTCAGAGAAGCCATAGATATCCATAACGAAACCGTCATGAATGTCTAAATAGAGCTAGCGAGACATTTCATATTTAAAAAAAAATCCTTTGCAACTTCTAAAAAAAGAAAACTTCAAAGAGAGAGAGACAGAGACAACCTGCAATCGATGGGGGAACAGCAAGTGGCAAGGTGAATGAAGAAAGCAAAATCATTTTTGCAGAGGGAAAAGCAGGAAAATTCTGCCAGAAGATCGAAAGAGAAAATCCATACTCATACTCAAGAAATTGTTGTGTCGAGCTTTCAGTGATTCTGTTTTCATGCACCTAAAAAAGATAGACTCCATGTGTTCTCTACCCTGCATATACGCTTATCATCATCATCATCAAGGCTTTTTCGCAACTAATTGGGGATATATGCTTATATCAGCACTATAAAAAGAGGGAACCAATATTCTGTAGTAAGAACTCAATACACAGCCAAGATTGAGAAGGGGCTCTAACAATGAACCTGTGCCCAACCACCAAAGACAATTGTTAGCTGACACATGGTTCCAAAGGGAACTCATGCATTATATAAGAGTGTAGATTGTCAAATACTTTAAAGAATTGTCAATTTGAGTAAACCTCAAGTTCCATTTTATACTTGGATTTCCATAACGAACACCATTGAGAAATCCTTGCAATCACGAGTTCAGAATGACCACCCTATTACAAAATGTTCTGAAATTTTTGCCCATCCATGTGTGTGTGTGTGTTCTTTGATTCATTATTTGTCAAAACGTTTGGTTGCATCTCATTACAATCCAAATATTTCCAAAATCTTAAAATTGCGAATATTTTTCCAAAATATCAAGCCTCACTTTTCATGCACCCACAAGGTTTCCAATGATCAAAGCCTCACACTATGCATCCACATTAAAAGAAATCCAAGAAATTATTAGACACAGAGTGCTTGAAACTAGAAACATATATCAGCGTCTGTTTTCATCATATGTGCACAAAATTATTCCAAACACAGTCACAATAAAAGTCAGTTTAGTGAAATGCATCAACATCATTTGCATGACTATCTACTGCTGCTTGACAAATCAGCAGAGAAAAACCATTTGAGGAATTAGTGGAAGCAAATCCGTAAGTGCTTGGACAAACAGATTCACAGCCCAAAGCCCACCATAAAAAAGGCTTCAAAAAAACGAATGCTATATGAGGGAGAGTTTTCATCCTGTTCATGAGCAGGTTGTATGTACTGCTCAGTATTAGTGACATTAGACAAAAGAAGATCAAAGGGGGAGTGTTGTTATCAAAATGGGGATTTTGTGTTTTGGATGGAAGTAAATGAGTAAGTCAAATGCATGCATCTTGTGTGTGAGACCCACGAAATCTGGCACAGACAGTTCATCAATAAAAGGGTGTGCAGTGGGAAGAGAAAGGGAAGACAACAGAGCCTTTGAGAGAGTCAGCGATACACAGACTGATACATGGAGAGCACATATAACCAATCCCACGAAATTAAATAAATGCCCAGTCCACAAACTAGCCTAACGGTGATTCAATAAGAGAGATAGAATCTCAAAAGAAACCAGAATATTTTTTTTTGTGTGTGTGTGTGTGTGTTCTGCACAAGAAAGTGAAAATCCTGCCAAAAAGGTCCAGTAAGAACAGTGGAGTATGGAAGGCAGAGCAAGTGGTCAACTCCATAGAGACATACTTGGACATTGCACAAACATATATACATACATACATACATATGTATACGAGCCTCCTAGAGAAAACAGAAATTCAGCAGGTAAAGCTCCCAAAGAAAATAAAAAAAGAAAAGCAAGGACTGACAAGAAAGTGAAAATCCAGTCAAAAAATCCCAGTAAGAAGAGTTAAGTATAGAAGGCAGAGTAAGTGGTCAACTCCACAGACATACTTTAGCTTCAATTTAGAAATTTTAAGAAAATTGGACACTAATAACCAGTCGTACTCTAAACAGATTCAAAAAATGTTATTCACTCCTTGTAGTGTTGAATTATTCCCCAATGCCATATAAAAAGTATCTCTTCTAAATCTGGCATTGTACAGAGGCAAATCCTCTCATTGTGATGTTATGCTTCAAGCAGAATGCTACTGTGCCTAGCATTAACACCACCAAAAAAACTATCATTGGAGAGTTCACAACAACAAGTACATAACATGCAACAATAAGTTATGAGATCGACAATGAAACTTGGTACTTAAAGCATTGATATAAGTAATCAGAAAAAATCATATTTAAAGTGACAAGTCATTTCTTATGCCAAACTCACAATTTCCTTTCTGTGATCCAAAAGATGGTGTCTCTGACAATCTCATAATCCGGCTAATGTTTCTGAATCCCCTTTAAAATCCAATAAACCTTAGCATCCAAGTTCTTCCTTTTGCCTCAATAAGTTACACCAATTCATTTTCAAGATCTATTTTTGTATGTTGCTGTACAGAAAAAACAAAAGTAACTCCAATAAAAGTGATCCTCATTCTCCTAAGAGGATAACAGGTCCTAACATACCATACAGCAAAAAAATAGAATAACACTAAGGCAGTAGAAGAATAATAACAAGATGAATTTCATAATTTAATTCACTATAATTTGTAAAACAATACACGGCATTGCCTACTAGAGAGAAACAGTGTGCCTGTAAAGCATCTCGTCATCACTCTCTTCTCCTTCATCCTCAGAAGCAAAATCCATTCCGGGCATCTCCAATGGCCCACCCATACAAAATGATGGCCCCACACTCTCAGTTTCAATAAAATCAGCCTGCACTCTCTCCTCAAATCTCCTATCACTGCAATTCAGGAACCAATCCAAGCTACACCGGATCCCCTTAGTCACTAACCTATTGTACCGGGGCTTAATCCTTGACTCTAAACTGTATGTAAAGTATGAAGGAAACTGAACCAGCTCTTGAACTGGTCGCTTCATCTCACTCTTGAAGAAGTAATAACTATTCTTCATCAGCTCAACTCTACAAGCCAATATTTGAGGGCAAGCAACTACCATCTTTGCCACATCTTCAGTTGATATACCACGACCCCTAAGAAACTCCACGGGCTTCAAAATCACTGATTGGTTAAGGCTCACAACCTGAGGCATCTTCTCTACGACCCGAGCAAACCCTTCAGGATCAACGTTAAGCTTTAGTTTGAAGAAATATTGTTGAGAAGAAAGCTTCACCTTTAATGGAAGCCCCAAAATTTGTGGGTATTGCGCAATCACAGTAGCAAGACACTCTCGATGAACCCCAAAACTTAACAAGCTTTCCACATTGGGTTTCATTGATTCCTCCAAATCATAGCCAAGAATATAAGCTCTTTTCTCAAACATTCTTGCTAGAACTTTCTTGGGTAGACCCAAAGAGACCAAATAATCAACAATTGGCTTGATCATGGTGCCTACTCTCATTCCCAATATATATGGGAATTGGGTCATCATAGGACCTATATCCCTTGGACTAACACCTATGCTAACCAAGTAAGCAACCGAAGTACTCATCGTTCCTTCTAGCTTGAATCCAAGAAGCTCCGGATACTTCTGCAAAACATAAGGTATATCTTGTCTCTCTATATCGAGGCCCCGAAGGAATTTGACCACAGGTACAAGCTCCACTACAACACTGGCAAGAAGGACTTGTGGGTAGTTCTTCACCAATTCCCCAAGTTTCGATCTCTGGATCCCAATCTTTTCCAAATAACCCAATACTGGGATCATGTTTTTTCTCATACTACAACCAAGCATAAGTGGATAGGCGTTTATATCATCAATTGTGAGGCCAAGTTGTTGAAGAAATTCAACCCGTTCTCTCATCACTTCAACAGTGGATGGAAGCTCCAGGTGCTCTAATTCATCAGGGATAATACCTAAAGACTTTAGATAGTCGCAAATTATGACCCGAGAGACTAATTTCTCTTTGCGCCCTTGGATCACACCCCATGTCACAGATGGCATTTCATATTCCGGGAATTTACCAGACTGAGTTGACATCGTTCTTCTATGAAGGGGAAAGAGGGAGATTTTCGGTATCCATTGAGCTGCAGATGAGAGAACCCTGACTCTTAACTGCTCCTTTACCGGGTCCTCAGTGCACGAATGGGTTATTCCCCTTGTTGCAGAAATCATTCCATGTTTGGGAAACTGTTGTGAATGCAAAGACAGTGGTTGCAAAGAAATGGAAGTTTTCTGATTCAATTGAGAAAGTGAAGAAAAAGCCCTAATTTTTGAGAAAGCCTTTACCAGCTTCCCATCAACCCCCTGACTACAACCCGGTTTCATTGGTGCCAGTTCGAGGATGAGGAACTTACCAGACTGTGTCCACAAATTCTTTGTGGAATGGTAAACCAAAAACTTATTTATATTCAAATGAGGCAGGGAAGAGAACACCCTAATTTTTGACAGACCCAACGTGAATAAACCATCTCTAAACCATGGGCTTAAGAGCTTTAACACTGAATTAGAGTCTGCTAAATTTGGAGCTTCTCTAACTGACATTGTTGTGACATAAAAGTTGTTCGAGTGGAGATTGAGACCAGGTTTCAAATGAGAAGTTAGGGTTTTTCTTCTAACAAAGGTCGAAACCATTGCAGAAACCCTAGATGATGAGATGAAGTATCAGCAGGGGAAAATAAAGGCCTAGCATTGCAAAGAAATGAAGAGAGGAAAAGATAGGAGAAAAATTAGGGTTTCGATTTGCACCTGAAGAGCAGAGAAAGAGAGAGAGCTCTCTTCAAACTCGGCTCGAGTCATGGGCATGGTGTTCCAGTCCCAATACATTTCACCGAGAGTAAGCACTCTGTTCCCGTTCTAACAACGGTCTAAAGTTTAGTCCCGCGAGTTCAAACTGTACACAACATGAGCGTACTCCCCCTCTCGATTGAACGAATTTAATGTAATGTGAGGATGCTCCGCGCTCTCTCTCATTCATTAGCAAGTCGGGGCATAATAATACATGGGTAGCAAATCGGTTTTGTTTTAGAAAGTCTAAGGAAAAAATGGGACAAAAATAGGAATCACCCAAAAAAAAAAAGAAAGATAAATTACAAAATTTTGGGATTTATCTCAAAAAAAAATAGAGTGAAAAAAATTAGATATGTAAAGATGGCGTAATACAAGATTATGATTACATTGTTGCCGCAATGCCAAACATATTACAAATTTATTAGGGGCATAAAATGGAACAAAAATAATAATACTTAATGGGAAAAGTTTATATAACATTACAACCTTAAAATGCAGAATCACAGATGTACCTGAAAAATCTATCGGAAATGTTGTTTTAATGTTGAATAAACCCTCTAATCGATCATCTCGACATTGAGATGTATGAATATGAAGAAAAAAAAAGTTTTTGAGTTCCAGAAATATTGCATTTTGTAAAACATTATCTAGACCGTCCATTTTCAAGATTTTCATATATCTATAGATCTACTTGATTTTAACCATTTTTGGAATTTAAAATTTTCTAATTAGGTATGAAAATAGATTTTAAGATAATACTAAGAATTTTTTATAACAAAATTACATGTTATTATAAAATTTTAAGGTGCACCTTAATTAGATTGCATCCATACTTAATACAAGAAGTATATTAGTAAAGGAAAAAATTTATATAAGGTTGCAAACTAAAAATGTAGAATTACAGATGCACCTCAAAAATCCATTGGAAATATTTGTTTTAATATTGAAAAACCCTCTATGGATCATCCCGATATCGAGATGCTTTAATACGAAAAAAAAAAAAAAGATTTTGAGTCCCCAAAGTAGTGCATCTTGCAATATATTATCTAGACCGGCCATTTTTAAGATTTTGATATGCTCATAGATCTACTTGATTTTAACCATTTTTTGTGTTCAAAATTTTATAATTAGATATAAAAATATATTTTAAGATAATCTTATTAACTTTTTACTCCAAAATTATATATTATGATAAAATTTGGAGGTGTGTCTTACTTGGATTGTTTAAAGTTGAAACTGCACCCATTAGTGAATGACAAGAGCTGTAATTATTCAAAAACATGAAATGGAACTGAAGATGTCAAGTTGGGACACCCAGCACTCCAACCACCTATGCCTTGAGTCCATTCATGAGATAAGGCATTTGGTAATAAAAACACATAAATCATTGTAAAACACAATTAAATTCCACATCCCTAATTTTTATACATTGTCTCCACAAATTTTTATATTTTTTGTTTTTTTATTTTTAATATGCTCGAGTTGTGCCCAAGTACTAGGCTCAGCCAAGGGCCGACTCCAAGTAACTCGTTTGAATCCAAATGGTCCAATACTAAATACCAGCATTTCGAGACTCGACCAAGAGCTCAGGCCTGGGCCGAGTACCTAGCCCGAGGTGAGTCTCGAAATGCTGATGGCAAAAGTACAATTTTTCTTTCTTTCTTTTTCTTGGAGGGATAAATTTGCTGCCCTTTTTTGGTTATTGAAGTTAGAAATTCTCTACCGTTTTTATTTTGGTTTTGCTTATTTGATGAAGGTGAATTTATTACTTGCTTTCCATTTGCAGGAGGAGGTGCTTCTGAGGAACCTAGTTGCATTGGGTAAAGAGTGTGAGAGAGATTTTGGATTTCTTTTGGTCCCACTGTTTCTCTCCTTTCTCTCACTTAAATGAGGCCAATAATTGTTCCTCTGAATTCTCTTCATACTGGGTTAATCCTTTTCTCCCTTTGCCTGTTTTCATAGATTATGAATGTGATAGGAACTGAAATTTCTGTGTGTTACCATGAAGCCAAGAGAGAAGAGGCCTCCCTCTTTCTCTCTCTAAGAGGCCTCTCTCTCTCTCTC